GAGTCCTCCAGTGGGGGTGTTGGGAAAAATAGGATATTGAAAAATAATAAAAAAATATATAGTAATAATAAAAGGATAGGCTTAGAAGTTCCAAATAGCATTAATGGGCTATCTTTATTGGAGACAAGTAAAATCAGTAGCATAAAACAGCTTTGAAAACACTAACGCATTTCTACTGCAAAGACACTTTATCAAAGTGTTACAGACATAGAGGCCTATCCTGTTTAAATAGTAGACACAATTGATTACATCATTGTAATTAGTGACAGCATCAGTCATGTGATAAAATAAGCATTTAAGAAAAATTATAATACAATAAAAAAGGTGAGGGGAATATAAAATGGGTAAGAACTATCACATAGGATATATAATACTTCATTTTAAAAAGGGAAAAAATTAAAGGTGAGGTAGCTATAAGACGGGCACCAAGATGGCTGCCAAAACATGTGAATTGGAGTCACCAAGATGACTACCGCTGGCTTAAATGTACTTATAAAAGAAAAGGTGTTATTTGGGTGCCTAAATAACTGATATAGAAGGTGAGGAGAAAGAAAGAGTATCTCCCCACCTAAAACGAGCTCTAATTGATGAAAAAGCAGGGACATCAAAAAACAAAATGGCGGCCACGACCTAAACCACGTGATCGGGTCACGTTGATCTGGCCAAATGGGAAGACACTTATACTTGGTCCAATGCACAATGGAAATCCAATATTATTCTGTACCGTAGATACATAGATGATGTGTTTTTTATTTGGGAAGGGACAAAAAATGATCTTAATAGCTTTTTAGAGTTTTTAAACAACAATGACAGGGGTATAAAACTAAACACTGAAATGAGCACCACTCAGGTACAATTCTTAGATTTAGAAATCTACATAAATAATAATAAATTGCACACCAAAACCTTTATTTTTAAAGTGTATACCAATACTTTTATAGATTTTACTAGTTGCCACTATCCCCCTTGGCGTCCAAAAGAGCCAACTTATAAGATTAAAATGTAACTGCAATGACAATCAGGTTTTTAACGAACAAGCTAAAGATCTAAAAAAAAACTACTAGAGAAAAACTATAGTGAACAGTATATGGACACCTTAATTGCTGAAATAAATCAAGTAGATAGAAGACAACTAATACAATATCACAGTTCGAAAACACATAAAGATGTTCTCCCTATTGTTCTAGACTACAACAATATAAGTTTTAGATTAAAAAAAATAATTAAAAAACACTGGAACATCCTAAAAGAGGATGCCATCCTAAATAAACTTCTACCAGAGAAACCACATAGTCTTTTTAGGGGGACCCCCTACTTAAAGACTTGTCTCACAAAAAACTACACGAAAATAACTAATTCCAATACCCCTTTTTCTTTCCTTAACCAACATAAAGGATTTTGCAAATGCAAAAGATGCCTAGCATGCAGAAGCACCAATAACAATCACACTAAACTTACAACATTTAAAAAACATTCCCTTTGTGAGCATAAAATAAAGGATTTCATTACGTGCAATTCTAAGAGTGTAATCTATTTATTGGAATGCCCATCTAAACTACAATATGTTGGCATGACTACAAGATGCTTATAAACCTGCATTGCTGAGCATGGTAGAAACATAAAAAAGGCTACATTAACCACTCCGTAGCCAAACATTTTTTAGTCCACAAAAAAGATCCTAAGTTTTTAATTTTTGTGCCACCTCCCAAAACTCCTAGGTAGAAAAGTAATGAACTGGGTATTCACACTTAACACTCTGGTACCCCATGGGTTAAATGTAGAGTTTGATCTGTACAACATTTTGTAGTATTTCTTTATATAATACCTTTTGTGGTCTTATGTCCTAAAGTCTCTCACATTCATTTGATATCTACTTTTAACTAGGTTTTTTTTTTTTAAATATATCATATTAATACCATTTCCACTTGCCCCATGCATCATATTTTTATTATTTATTTATTTTTATTATTTTATTTTTTATTAATTTAATTTTTATTATTTATTTTTATTATTCCTTTATCAAGTCCTATTTTACCAGTATGGTTATCTTGTTTATAATTCCTTTTACTATCTATATTCCTGTCTTTCAGGCTTTCTCTCTTTTCAATACATTCCTCATGATTCTATGGGGTTTCAGCCAGCCATATTTAACCCTCCCTCCTGTCAGTAACCTCCCCTAAAGGAAAGCCGCGACCCAGTTGGTTTATGTGACACAAGTCGCGTCCGTCATCTATGCTTAAAGGCCAGCCCTCCCTGCCTCCCTATACTATTCGACCGGACAGGCACGGTCTCCATGGCGATGCGTCCCAATCATGTGGGGATCATCAACACATCCATAGATGTGGATTATACCGTCCATGTGCATATATCTGGAGCTGAATATAAGCGCCAGAAAATTGTAAGTGCAATTCTTTCCCTCCATTTATTATTACCAGAGATCCAAACATACTACATTATATCTGTGTATTTTCCTTATTTTTCCCATATTTCTTTGAGCGTGGAAATACCATTACAGACGCTGGTTCCTGACCCCATCGTTTACACCAATCAGTCCTATCTTTTTAACATTTTGCAATTGTTTTCTTGCAGTTTGGAGCTCAAAGTACCCTGCTGAGCAAAAATGCACATCATGGTCCACTGACCAAGATCCTACTCCTACCTGGTCATGAATGTTGAATGTTGTGGAGAATGAGATAGGCGGTTCTGCATAAGGAGCAGATGATATATTCATAACTCCTATCATGGGAGAGTCTAACTTAAAACATTGTTAAAATTATCTAAAAGAACATTCATTTTAGATACATTTTATAATTATGAAATCTTTACAAAAACATATGTTTAAAACCTGTTTATTCATTTTTTTACATTTATGTATTTTGTTTCTATTTGTAATCATTTTTGTTCTGTGAGCTTGCTAAAATCTACCATATCTATAATATGCATCCTATTATATATATATTATTATAATACATATGCCTTATATAGTATAAGTTATTTCAACTGTATTTTATAGACCTCTTAGTTAGCCGAATGTTCAATTCAACAAAGGAGAGGAATAAGGCAGGTAGTCAATAGGAAAATGACTCTGAGACTTTTATTTGAGCTGTCAAGTGTGTTTTACTGGATGATTAATTGGCAATGATCTGGCCAGCCCTTTAGTCCTGCTGAGAGCCATGCCCCCTGACATGCACCTGCCACTGAGCAACTGATTACAGAAAAAAGGAAACCTTTCCATTTCTTACAGCTGTTAAATTGCTTTAAGAAAATATTGTATACACATTCCTTGTCATTGAGCATTTTAGCTAATCCTCAAATGATACAGCAAATCAGAAGAGGACCCAGCAAATGTATTTAGAATTACTCAAAGCAATGGAAAGAGTATAAAAATATTTATTGTATTTCAAAGATTTTAAATATTGAGAGGAAAGAGAAAATACAAATGTAAATAGTATTTTTTATGTTTTAATTAAAAATGTGTAAGATTGACCGAACCAAAAATTACATGAGACATGTAAGTTCAATAATGCAAACTAGGTCTTTCATTAGAACAAAGAAATAGCAAAGAATGTTTTTTTAAATACCATAAACAACATAGTATGAGCGTGTACACTAGGAACAGGTCTTAGTCTGACCCCAAAGAACTTTTGTTTCACATCCCCAGAGCTCCATCCAATATAGAGGGAATCACAAACCCCTCACAAAGACATCAAAATTAGAAAAAAATCTGAGAGCTACACTGGGTGAAGTGCCTTTAAAACACCATGCTTTTTATTTGATCAGGGATAAGAAGAGAAAAAAACGATAATATTACAATGTTTTGGCAGTAGATTTAATCATGTATAAAGCCATCCAAAGCTAATCTCATATATATATATATATATATATATATATATATATATAAACATATGTGTATATCAATTAGAAGCTCCAGAGCTAATCCTGATACAATCATATATAAAAAGAAGCAAAACAGAAAAAAAAGGGGAATGCATATTGCAATGAGTATTCATGATAAGATACAAAGTATATTCAGAGCAAAACAAGTGAGTATAGCACATAAGTACATATTTCAATTGACATGTGGACATCAGTTTCCCGCAGGAAAAATGATCAAAAATCGATAAATGATCAATAGTAATTTTTCTTTGTAATCAAGAGAATTAAATTGCAATAATCATGGAATACAATGTAGCTGCTATAGTACATCAGTACATATTGTGATATACGTAGTATATGTGATCAAACGCAAGAAAAATATTTGAAAACCAATATATAATTAATGGTAATTTTCAAATTGAGTGTTCCCTTAAACTGCACAGTAACTTTATATATCCTGCAAACTGACTACGCAACCACAGATGAAGCAGGTATGGAGATAAAAACAGTCTCTCAAGGAGTACCTAGAAAATGAATAAAGATACAATAAAATCAATGTAATTTCGAAGGAAAAGATGCAAATCAAATTCACGATTTAGGCCTTTAGGCCACATAGCATCTAATTTGAAAATCCCAAAAGTTTTTTCTGGTCCCCTCCTCTTCTTAGAGGGGGTACCTAATTAATGATTTGAACCTTAATTCTGAGATGGAGTGATCAATAAAATTGACAGAGAGAGTTAGGTCAGTTTTACCTGTACAAATCGCAGATTTGTGCTTACTGAATAATTTCCTCATTTTTATCCTGGTTTCTCCAACATAGATAAGCCCACTTGGATACTTTAACATGCAGATCACATAACTTGATTACCATGTAAAAAATTACTTTTAGAGCAGTGGCTCCCTGCCCCAGATGGATGTCCTGTGCATGGAGCGGCCCTGATAGTCTGCAGAGGACTGGATGAACTTTATATTTCTATTGGAAGACCACGTGCTGAGGAAGTAACCTGGTGGGATTCCTAGATAATTTCAGATGGCCGGAATTTGAATGCATTGATTGGGGGGAAAGGCGAAATACGATTGCTTCTGTGGTAGCAGGGATTCTGTTCTTCTCAGGTTGGTGGATTATGATCAATGCCGCAGTAGTTTACCCAACTCAGCAAGATCTAAATCATGCATTTCACACCTGTGGGGTCTTCTCCACTCTCGCGGTTTTCATGATAAATGCTGTGTCAAATGCTCAGGTTCGGGGGGATAGTTACAGTGATGGATGCCTGGGGAGGACCGGGGCCCGGATTTTGCTCTTCATTGGTTTTATGTTGATTTTTGGATCTCTTATCGCTTCCATGTGGATCCTGTTTGGAGCTTGCGTTATGAAAGGTATAAATGTCTACCCTGGACTTGCAGTATTTTTCCAGAACGCTTTAATATTCTTTAGCACCTTGATCTACAAATTTGCAAGAACAGAAGAGCTATGGTCGTAGGAATATGGAATCCAAAACCTTGCTTTCTTGTTCCTCATTCAAACTGCTGCACCGTCCCTCCCATGTTAATACACATTGCCGTCCAGCCGGTTTTAGATTTTTCTTGTATTTTGTTAGCCTCATCACTGTGTTAAGAGCTGAAGAGGGGGCTCTTTAAGCTGTATATTTATGGAAAATTAAATCTATTTTGACCATTTCGGACAAAACCTGGGAAATATTTGTCAGTAGGGATACTTAACTGTCAGTCCATTTTTTTGCTACCTGTAGAGATTAATGTTAAATGTAGATAATATCTAGGAAGGCCACAATCCTACAAACTGTATTATGAGTGACAGTGGGCTATTTCTCTGAAGGTTAAAGGTTTAGCTGTTTTTTTTTCCCCATTTTCTGTCGGTGTCCTAAAAGTGTGAACACTGTATTCATCTGAAACTTATACTTGTAGAGTTCTGTTTCCTCAAAGTTTTGGCCTTTTTTTTTCTTAACCACATCTTCTTGTTTCTGAAGATTTCTGCTCTAGTGATTTCATGAATTATTTGTACTTCAATACATAACTGCAGGATTCTATGATGCTGCATCAGCTCAAAGGGAAACTGCTTACAAATATATGCTGTTGAAAAGTTAGCCATATCTACTCTAGGACCTCCATCTTGTTCAGACACCTGCACATGGCCACTGTGCTGTCTGAGAATGCATTTTAAATCCATATTCGAAAATGCATCTCTACCCCTCTCTTAGGGTTTCTTTAAAAGCTCAGGGAAGTTGTTTAACATCCTGGTTTTAAAATTCAGCTTCCATTTTTCTCTAATAACCATTTGCTGCAGAACATTAGGTGATCAGAAGTCCAACAACATTTGTTGAAGTTCATTTGTAAGATGTTCAATGTGTAAGTAGTATGCCATTTGTGGTGAATGGGAACAAGTATACAGTTTTGGAGAACTAGGATTGCTGATCATAAAGGAGAAGTGTTCGTTGCACACTTTAATTGCCAACACAACAACTGCTGTTAGCTGTGATTTTTCTTTTTTATTTAAATATCCTTCTTTTTATTTTTATTTTCATAAGATGCAAAGTTGTCCTGGCATAACCTGGCATTCATTGCACATTTCAAATGTCACATGATTCTGTTTTGGAACATATATAATACCTTATATGGAAAGAAGGTGGGTGGTCTCTTCATAGGTTATAATATGAAGATGGCAGCCCTCATTGTCCAGTAGTGCAGCAGTGGTAGTGTGCCATGGACCAGATAATCATTTGTTTTCACTGGTGTGCTCTTTCTTATGAAGACTATTTTCTAACTATTAAATCTAGTATTTATTTCAGAAGCAGACCCCATTTATTTTTATATCAGAGTAGAATGAAAAGACATGAACATGTTTTAACAGAAACTATTCAGACAGTAATGTCCGTAAAGTGTCAGTAAAGTCTATTTTCTTTTCCTTCTTGAATAAATGAACTTGTCGTTTTACGCATATATATTTTATGAGTGATCTTGCTGCTATAATTTAGCAGATCAACTTGCTTTTATGCTTTTATTTCTTGTATCACGGAGTGCTGGAGACATTGCTGCCCCAAGAGAAAATACCATAGGGAGTATGATAATGCTATGATGCCCATTAAACGCTGATGCATTTCCTCTGCAAAAATTTTTTTAAAAAAAAACAACTTTTAATTGGGAACCATTTATCTGTTCTGGGATGTGCGAAAAATCACCTCTAATGATGGCATTACAGGAACTACAACCTAAACAGGGAAATATGCCACATTTAGGAGTAGATGAAAAAATGTCTGTGTTTTGGACAAAATAGGGCCAATATCTCCCTTCACTAACTTATCGCTCAAACAAAATGCCATGCCACTACCAAATGCTTATGCTAAATAGAAATGTTGAATAATTCCAAAGGGAAAGCAGATAAACAATTACTATATATAAAGAATTATAGTGAGCACAACCTCTACTAAGCTTTAACACAAAAAAGTTAGCAAAATTTGCATTTATCCCAAATATTGCTCCTGTTTCTTTGACTAGATTGTAACATGTGTCATTAAAATATTGGCTGTGTGTGTATTAATTTTCTAAGTGGTCACTTCTACATGGCAGTGGATTGAGCAGTGAGACTTCATGAGAATGATCTGTACACTGAAACTGCTTCATTAAGCTCAAGTTGTTTTGGTGCTTTAATGATACAAAACTAGGGTATTGGTGATCGTCTTTCCTATTTCTATTGGTATAATAGAGCTTGTAGACTGGTTATCTCCAAAGCCCCTATTATAAGAATATAGGAGAGGGATAAGGTAGGAATAGGATAGGGGTGTGGTAGGACTTGAAGACATGTCATTCTTGGCCCCAATATTACCAACATGGAGACTGGTCATCCTAAATTACCATGTTATCTGCGAGGAGATTTGAGATTTTTTTTAATTTTCATTATTATCAGGATAGGTCCTGGATACTCCTCATGAAAGGGATTCAATAATGATCTTCTTTAACCCCATCATTATCAAAATCTGTCTTGGAGAGAATTATCTTCACCTTCACTATTACCAAGACAGATTAATTAATCACACTTGTGCCAGGAACTGGAATATTGATTTCACAGTTTGGGAAAAAGATCTTAATAATGTTATTAGTAATACAGAAGAGACAAAAGTGGTAAACCGCGCCCAAACAGTGCAAATAATAATTAAAATATATACATACAGAGAGTCCTCTAATTAGGAATGTATAAAACCTTCAAGACAAAAAAGTACAGAACAATAATAGTGCAATATGTCAAGTGAAATAAGAGTATATAAAAGCTTATAAAAGACTCACTCACACTTTGCAGAGCTACTCAGAGCTCTGCCGTATAGCGCCTAGACGGTATAATCCCCGTCTCAGGATATCAAGTGATGGTATAATGCGGTATCCAATCCTCCACAGTGGTATATGGAAAGATAAAAATAGAAATAAAATCCAATAGTGTAGTATATCTATTAAAAAGTGTGCAAATAAAGGAAAAGTATCCTACTTACAAATTTCAGAGCAAATATCTTGCTCTGGTATAGACAGCATGTGGTGGTATGATCCCCACCAAAGGATATAAGTCAGGATTCAAGATGTATCAGGAACAACAAATAAAGTAGTAAAAACTATAACTTTATTGTTACAAAATAAAAAATATGTAATAAAAGTATCAGATCTCTTACTTAACGCGTTTCGCCCGGTCTGGGGCTTCTTCAGAAGTAATAAGTCCAAAATTCAATGGAGTCCTCTTTATATAAGTGTTCCTGATTAATGTGATTTAGTCCTGATGCAATTTCACTTCCTACTTCCGGGTCGCGTGTGTCACCCGGAAGTGATGTCAGCGAGTCTTTTCATAGCTTGCTGGGATATGTAGTATCCCTCCATTCATGTTGTGTGCGGCTCCCGGAAGTGACATCAGCGTATCTCCCAATGGTTGATGGGACATGTAGTTTACATTGTCCATTTCTCTATAAACACTGTTTCGTCACCCGGAAGTGATGTATCACGATCTGGTATTGTTCATGGGAATTGTAGTTCGGCAAATTGCCGATATGGGATACAATACATATAAGAATAAAATAAGTAAATTATGTAATTAACAAGGTGATAAAATTTAAAGAAAGAATGTAAATATAAAAACATATAATAAAAGCAAATAAGACATACAGGGAGTGCAGAATTATTAGGCAAGTTGTATTTTTGAGGATTAATTTTATTATTGAACAACAACCATGTTCTCAATGAACCCAAAAAACTCATTAATATCAAAGCTGAATATTTTTGGAAGTAGTTTTTAGTTTGTTTTTAGTTATAGCTATGTTAGGGGGATATCTGTGTGTGCAGGTGACTATTACTGTGCATAATTATTAGGCAACTTAACAAAAAACAAATATATACCCATTTCAATTATTTATTATTACCAGTGAAACCAATATAACATCTCAACATTCACAAATATACATTTCTGACATTCAAAAACAAAACAAATCAGTGACCAATATAGCCACCTTTCTTTGCAAGGACACTCAAAAGCCTGCCATCCATGGATTCTGTCAGTGTTTTGATCTGTTCACCATCAACATTGCGTGCAGCAGCAACCACAGCCTCCCAGACACTGTTCAGAGAGGTGTACTGTTTTCCCTCCTTGTAAATCTCACATTTGATGATGGACCACAGGTTCTCAATGGGGTTCAGATCAGGTGAACAAGGAGGCCATGTCATTAGATTTTCTTCTTTTATACCCTTTCTTGCCAGCCACGCTGTGGAGTACTTGGACGCGTGTGATGGAGCATTGTCCTGCATGAAAATCATGTTTTTCTTGAAGGATGCAGACTTCTTCCTGTACCACTGCTTGAAGAAGGTGTCTTCCAGGAACTGGCAGTAGGACTGGGAGTTGAGCTTGACTCCATCCTCAACCCGAAAAGGCCCCACAAGCTCATCTTTGATGATACCAGCCCAAACCAGTACTCCACCTCCACCTTGCTGGCGTCTGAGTCGGACTGGAGCTCTCTGCCCTTTACCAATCCAGCCACGGGCCCATCCATCTGGCCCATCAAGACTCACTCTCATTTCATCAGTCCATAAAACCTTAGAAAAATCAGTCTTGAGATATTTCTTGGCCCAGTCTTGACGTTTCAGCTTGTGTGTCTTGTTCAGTGGTGGTCGTCTTTCAGCCTTTCTTACCTTGGCCATGTCTCTGAGTATTGCACACCTTGTGCTTTTGGGCACTCCAGTGATGTTGCAGCTCTGAAATATGGCCAAACTGGTGGCAAGTGGCATCGTGGCAGCTGCACGCTTGACTTTTCTCAGTTCATGGGCAGTTATTTTGCGCCTTGGTTTTTCCACACGCTTCTTGCGACCCTGTTGACTATTTTGAATGAAACGCTTGATTGTTCGATGATCACGCTTCAGAAGCTTTGCAATTTTAAGAGTGCTGCATCCCTCTGCAAGATATCTCACTATTTTTGACTTTTCTGAGCCTGTCAAGTCCTTCTTTTGACCCATTTTGCCAAAGGAAAGGAAGTTGCCTAATAACTATGCACACCTGATATAGGGTGTTGATGTCATTAGACCACACCCCTTCTCATTACAGAGATGCACATCACCTAATATGCTTAATTGGTAGTAGGCTTTCGAGCCTATACAGCTTGGAGTAAGACAACATGCATAAAGAGGATGATGTGGTCAAAATACTAATTTGCCTAATAATTCTGCACTCCCTGTATGTTTAATTACAAAAGATAGCCAGCACTTTTTTTTTTTTTTTTAAAGACATCATAGAGCTATACACACAAAATATATAGGTTTATACCAGGTGTTGCATACCAGAAAATAAGCATGCATAGAAATCTATAAAAATAACCAATATTATAAAAATATGCTATACACAAAGTGAACCATGCACATATATGGAGATCTTAAAGTGATACACAGGGGAGGTGGTGTGTAAGCAATAACAATAGTATATAAATATGCAAAGTATATAAAAACTGGTGTGAAAGATTTTTTTCTTTTAATATTTATTATAAAAAATTAAAAAGATCAAACTCTGCATTAAGACCTTTAGGGTGTAGTGTGTCTAAAAAATAGACCCACTCCATTTCTTTCTTGCCCAATTTATTAATTATATCACCACCTCTCCAGTGTTGGGACAATTTTGAAATGCCCATAAATTTTAAGTGCTGTGGATCATTACCATGTAACTCAAAATGTGAGGATACCAAGTGGGTTTTTAGCCCTTTTTCTATGTTTCTACAATGTTCCCCAATCCTGACCTTCAACGGTCTTATAGTTCTCCCTATATATTGCAGTCCGCATGGACATTCTAATAAATATATCACGTTTTTACTCATGCATGTAATTGTGTTTTTAATACTGTAACTTTTATCTGTATTATTTGATTTAAAACTATGGATATATTGGTCCATTTTTTTAGTTTTTTTGCACGCTACGCAGCAATTGCATCTAAAAAATCCATTCT